ATGTATGTATAGGAGTAGTGTAATATGTGTATATATGTATAGGAGTATAGTAGTATGTGGATACATAAATCGAAGGGTTCAGGAATTTAGGAATCTATGAAATGATGTATCTAAGGCCATATACAGTAGTGGTAGAGTAGTAGTAGTAGTAGTAGTAGTAGTACAATAGTAGTATAAATATAGAAATACCGAGACATGTGAATGGACCTAGGGATACAGGTATCTCCAAGTTTATGACCTACATCGCCATAACACACATGCACACATATGCCTCACTCTTATACTACAAACATAGTATCGACATCATTTTTAGAACATGTTTGATACACCATTCCTCTTATCCGTCTTACAACGAACGTATTCCATTGTGGATTCAATTCACGAAGGACACCGGTAGATGAACGACCGCCATTGCAAAAAGCGAAAGAAAGAAAACTTTGAGGAAGGAAAACGCGGGAAGAAGAAAACAAAGATGACGAACAGATTCCAGAAAATAGGAGGAACGCGAAGAATTTGAAACTCGCTTGGAAGAAAAGGACAGAGGACGTGGTATGACAAACCGAAAGCGCTCGCCGTACAATCTAAAACCCCATTCGGCTTTTAAACTCTTGACAATGGTAGTCGGTTACTTGCGCCGGTTCGTCGATGGAGGTGGAGGCAGGCACGATTCAAAAGTTTGATTTATTTGAAAGAAGATTGCGAACGGCACGGGTGCGGGATTGGATCACACCAGATTTTACGACCCGAAGCAAACGAATAAAAAATAAAATGGTCGCCACGGAATCAGTGCCGGCTTTTCTTTCACGCTCTATGAATTACTTCGACTCTCACATTTAATCTTTCGCTTTTGCGAACTAACTGTAAGAAAGTTTATAGAAACGCATGAGGTTCCTAGGAAACCCGGTTACTTTGTAAAAGTTACTGTGAATTATTGGATAGAAATGTTAGGGAAAATTGTAAATGGTGGATGAAAATTTGAGAGAAATTTTGAGTGGTGATGTTTGAGAAGTTTGGTTGTAATAGGTCTGTGATAGGATTCTTGTAATAAATCTGGAGGATATGATTAAATGGTACTGATGAAGTTAGTTGTTATTCGAAGATTTGATAGAGATCAGGTATAATGAGGTTAGAATTGTAAAATGGTAATTATGGTGTCAAATATGTTGGAATTTTTAGTAGTCATACAATAAAATTTGATATGTAGTAAAATTGTAAAAACTAAGTTTCAAGAAAATTATGAGCATGATATATGTTTTTATACATGTTATTATTTATGAGGTTTAAGTATAAATTGGTGCAATTATTATTGCAAATAATATACTATAAGTGCAGTTAATGAGAAATAATATATAGGTATTTTGAGGATTACGTATTTGGTGATCAAGAAATTTAGGAATCTAAATATGTGAACATCTAGGTACCTGAGAATCTAGGGATGTGAGAGACTAGAAATTTGAGAATTTAGATCTGTGAAAATCTAAGAATTTATAAACCTAAGGATATGTAGGAATTTGGAAATCTAAAAATGCAAGGAGTCTAGGAATTCAGTTTAGGACTGAAAATTGAGGAATTTGTTAATCTTGAAACTTGGGAATCTAGGAGTTTAGAAATGTAGAAGTGTGAGATTTCAGAAATTTGGAAATCTAAGAATGTAAAAATCTAGGAATTTGGGAATCTAGAATAAAATTTTAAGAATTTAGTTTATAGCTTAGAATACAAGCTTAGAAGCTTATAAACTTAGAAAATTGCAACTTAAAGAATTTAGAAGTTTAAGGAATTAGAAATCTGGACATCCCTTATCCTAATAAGACTAGACAAGTTTACCTAGAAAGTTTGTAAAGCTTAAAATCTGAGAACTTGAAAACTTGAAAACTTAAAAACACAGAAACTTAAAAACTGGATAATTTAATTTCCATGTAATTGTACGATTAGCCTTCACCCAAGTGCCATACCAAACATAATTAAAAACTGTTTGTCAATTCCCTTATCAGCCGAACTCCCTAGAGAGAGCGAAATTAAACGTGACTCCTGGCTGCCGTTTTGTGTCGCTCCGCGAGTAATCGAAGAATCAGTGTAGAGTTTCTTCGACCAGGGAATCGTTCGACCAGGGTAATCATATCCAGGGCTAACATTTGCGAAGTTTCATGAACACGAACGAGCCACGGTTCGTAGAACGTTCAACACTCAAAGGTACGAAGGAGCCGAAGCAAGGCTTGCAATTTGTCATTAGGGCGTAATGCAAAGCTTGTTTCTATTAAAGCTTGAGAATCCTATCACGAAAGAGGATTGAATTACATGAGTTTCAGTACCGTTGCACTGGGGTAATGCCGGATTCCGTGTTTGGCTATATGGTAACGTCTCGATCTAACATTCACGGAGGCCTTGGTAAGAAGACGAACTATCATCCCACCTTCTCCCTCTTTCACACAATCATTCTTGTTGTTATACTGCTTTCGCCGTATCGCGTGACACGATAATGAAAAGCTATCAAGAATCGGAAACCGTGCGTCGTTCCCAGCGAACCTATTGGCCGTGCATTCTGACGTGTATTGTATGTACAGTCTGTTACAACAAGAGCGTAGTCTAGATATCTTTTGTCATTTTCAACAAAATGTTGACTATAGAGCAATGTTAGGAATTATGAAGATTTAGGGTGGATTTCTTTTGGAGAGGCATAAGTACATACTCTGAAGTTGCCGTGATATAATGATAATATTAATGATATGTAATGATAAGTATCTCATGTGGAAGTATATTCAGACGATTTGCCCGCGAAATTTAAACGCGAGAGAGGGGAGGGATACAAAAGTGATAATTGTGTTGGACCAATAATTTCTATATATTCATAGATGTTCAAATATATTAATTTAATATTATGATTTATAAAGGTTCAGGATAGAATGTCTTTGGATAGGAATAAGTATAGTGTATGTACGGATGTTGATGTTACAGCAGTTGAAATGTCAACAGACTTTTATTAAAAGTATTCGGAAATTTTGCGAATTTGAAACTTAAAGGATTTGAAGATTTGGAAACTTCAGGATCTGAAAATATGGAAATTTGAAACTCTAGAAATTTGTAGATTTAGGAGTAGGAGTATCTAGATGTAGAAGTAGAACTAGATATGGGAGTTAGGTTAGGAATTTAAAAGTTTCTAAAATTTTGCAAATTTGGAAATTTGGTTATTGAAGACAAGAGAATTAAAAAATTCTAAAATCTGAAAAAGTGATAATTTGAGAATATGGAAATTTAGAAATGTAGAAATATTGAAATACAGAAATATAAAAATGTAGAAATATAGAAAAATAGTAATTTAGTATTATTGAAATATAGAAATGTAGAAATATAGAAATATAGAAATATACAAGTATAGAGATATAGAAATATAGATATATGTATAAAAATTTCTATATATGAAGATTTAAAAATGTGCGAAATTGGAAATATTCAGAAATATATAGGTTTAGAAATTTGAAAATTGAAAAATTTGATATGTAAAAAGTTAAAAATGTAGTAATTTGGGAATTTAGAAATTTAGAAGCATCGGAATTGAAAAATTTTCGTGATATGATAGAAATACAAACTCTTCTCCTATCTGTGTTTTTAATACACAAGTTGCAATATTTTACAATTTTTAGATATAAATATTTAATAAATTTGTTTGTATTTCTTACATCAAGAATGTACATAAATTTAACTATTCACATGATTTTCACATAAAAATGATTCAATACTCCAAAATCGAGCAGCAACAAATTACAAAACAATGAAATGCATGGACTATTAGATGAAAACTGAATAAATTATACGAAATAAATAAAATATATTTAAGGGAAACATATTAGAAAGTTTATTGCCACATATACACAAGATGATGATCATTACCTATTTCATATGCTATTTTGATGAAAAGCACGTCACAACTTTGCAAGCTCTAATTATTAACAGAGGAGATCTGACCTATATAAAATACTGTTTCAAAACAGGCTTTTGAAATTTCTGATTATCTTACTAACAATTAAATTATCAAATTATAATTCCTAATTGAATATCTTTTTATTAAGAATCAAAATGTGATTGTTACTTAAACAATTTTCTGACTAAAAGTTAATGTTCCATTTTTTATCGAAAACTGATAAATTACACTTTTAAAAGTTAGTTGAACAAAAGATTTTTATTATTACTGATTAATTTTCAATCTTTAACTGAAACTTGCAATTATGAATAATAATTTCATTTCCTATTTAATTGGGTAAAAGTTGTTATTATTATTTAATTAAATCAAGAGTAAGTAGAAATCACTTTTAATCTTTAATTATTGTTTCACTAAACAAATAACTAAGTTTTAATTTCTATTTGAAGATCGAATTAAGAATTAGACTTCTATTTGTGATTGGAAGAAATTTTCATTACAAATTGAAAGATAATCATTAATTTAGAAATTCACACAATTTTCAATCGGAAACTCATTCAATTAACAATGACGTTTTAATTTTTAATTAAATGAAATTCAATTACGAATTAAATATTAATTATTAGCCACCGTTTAGTTAAATTAACACTAAAGCTACCAAAGCAAATGAGTGAAGCTACCGTTTCACAAGTTTCTTATTTTAAATTAAAAAATTTGTCAAATAGAAATTTGAAATTTCTCTTGACTTCCATCAAGATAAAAAATTAATGTCTATCAATTTAGATTTTATTATTTGTGTTACTCTCCACATCTTCAATTTCCAAATAAGAATGCATTACACGTCGGTAGATTTAGTGTCAAGGACCTAATTAATCTAAAACCCTGTTTTAAGGTATATACAAATCATTCTCGTTTTCTCGAAATACAGTATACGCTCTTGTGTCACAGACTGCATGTACATGTCTGTACGTATGTATAACGCATGTACATATGTATACAGAGACCTGAGACACTTTTATAAATGCGAGACAAATTAAGAGAAAGCGATAGGAACGAAGCCGAAAAGAATGGAAAACTTTAGACGTACCAGAAAGAGCTTGCGTGAGCAAGGGCGTGTTGTTGTTGGGGGTGAGCTGTCCGTTGGTTAGATCCACTGAAACATAAAACTCTGATCACAACTGCTCCGCGCTTGATTCGTAGACGCGGGTGTGTGAGCGCTTCGTTCGCTACGTTTTTTTCTCGTTAAACAGCCGCCTCGGCGAAGTAACTGTCGTGGCTGATTAAAGGAGGCAAAGAGAGAGAGAGAAAAAATATATAAACAAACACACACACACACTCGTACGACGTCAAAGTGACGGCCGAAAGGAAAACGACAAAGACGTGATTTCTCCGTGTGTGTTGCTTTGTCAGGATCGCTGATCCTTCCTGTACACCGGATGCGATCATCGACCGGGCACGTTTCCATCGTGACTCTTTTGCGATCCACGGATTAAACGTCCCCTCTTGTCTTTTTATTCGTTTCGTCTCTTTTTGTTCGCGATGTAGGATCATCGCCTATCACGAATGCACGCGTGATCAATTCTCTCGAGCCGATTACGGGGATTTGCCTCCTTCGTTTGCTACACTGGCGCGATATTTACCCGAGGATTCCTCGAGGCAGCGGAACACCGCGGACGCGTTGGAAAGCTTGTAAAATATTTATCGTCCGTTTGCGAAAGCTGTGGCTGTCGATCACGATGGTGCTCGCCGAAAAACGAGCGATATGCACGAATCGCGGGAGGAGTTTCTCGAACGCAAAATCAACGTGGAACGCGGTACCGGTTTAATCAACTATGAACGATGCTGAACAAGAACAGACTGAAAGAAGAGGCATAGAGATATAGATGATGCGAAGAAAAAAGAACGGAAAGATAAAGAGATAGAAGAAAGGAAGAAGAAGGCGTGGTGTGTGTTTCCAGTCCAAAGTGAATGTCGACTTCATACATTTCTTCCGAAGTGCAGCCCGTTGGACGTGTTGCATCGGCGTCTCCGTATACGCGCGGCTTGCGTTCTCGCTTCCGGTTCCGTGGTAGTACACTGCCGGCACTCCTAACATTGATAAAAGAACAAGAAGAGAGCTGAGAATGGGAAACAAACAAAAACAGGGACGATGAATGATGGCTATGTAATTAAACTAAATAAAATCATAATGATTTTGATCTTGAACTTTGTTGATGAATTTGTGCGTGATAATAATAATGTTGACAGGATGTCATCTTTCCTGGGGATATTGATTCCTATTTCAATGAAGTAGCTTCGTTGCAAAAAATTTCTAGAGTTCATCGTAAGTTTATAATGTTGGATCAAGATATGAAATCGTGTGGGGAATAGAAACTTCTTTGTTTGAAGGTCGATTTGAAGAATTTTACTGCGTTCTATCAATTGTTTTATTGAAATTCGTTAAAAATTCTAGTTGCTGAAGCGCAATTAGTGACAGTGCCAGATAATTATTACTGCGGTACGATATTTTATGCTTTTAGCAGAGAAAATGCGACAACAGTAAATACCAGTCTTGGACACGTAGCAGATATTTGAAAATTTATATTTAAGTTTCCTTATTTTCTTTTAAATTATTATTTTTTAATATGTTGCCACAATGTTGCGATGAAGATTTTAATTTGAGATTGTTGATCATTGAAAGTTATCAAATAAATTTTTGTGAGGAATTATTTTTAAGATTATTTATTAGAGTATTTAATTAAAGTATTATCAATTATTGAAACCATAATAAAAATTGATTATTTCCTTAAAGTAGTATTAAAACATTTAAAAAATGGAAAGATTATTTAATTATTTAATTGAAACGACGAAAAAATTATTTAATCATTTCGTTAAAATATTAAAAATTATTCAACAAATGTTAAAAATTGTTTAATTAAATTACTAGCAGAAGTACATAATTTTTACGGTACCTCTTGCAATCAATAGATTTTATTTAATATAAATCTAATTTTAATTTAAAATTTAGAAGTGAGTTTGGCTAAAACAAGTTCTTAAAAACATTTCACTGTTCAGAATAGTGACCTTAGCAACAAATTAAAAAATTATCGACTTGAGGTAATGTTAACCTAACCTAACCTTTCATTATAACGTTCACACCTTTCAGGGTAGTAATTTCAATAACATGAAAAAAATGATTGTATTTTTAATCAAATTGGAATATAACACAAAGTCAAAATAAATAATGAAACAATCTATACAAAAATTATTTTCATGTTTAACGTATAATTATTTCAAAAAATGCCTCACAAGACAATGTAATTTTAAATTATATACTTGTATAATTCTTGAAATATTGTAATGTAATTATAAATAATTATATTCTTTAAACATAATAATCGAATAATGCCCAAGACTGATAAATACTCGATGAAAATAAAGACGCACCAGTTGCGTCAAAGCATTGAAAGCGTTACAAAAGCTAACGATTAAAATATTTAGTTCGTTTAATTGATTCATGCGTTTACAATGAGCAAGTAAAATAATTTAAACATTAAATAAGATAGGAAATGACTTTGAAGTACAACAATTGCTTCAAATATAGAATCTGCGATAGATATTTCTCAATTTCGTACGGTTCTAATAAATTACCTCAGTTGGTAGCTATTTTAAAATATAATAAACATAAAATCACACAGATTATTATATAATAAAATTTCTAACCTTCCATAAAATGAAAAGTAATATTATTTCACGTAATTTCATACCTTCATCCAATATCAGTTCACCCGAAAATCGTTCAATCCGATCAGAAAATAATACTCATAGTAGCAAACAAAAACCGAGTGTAAAACCCAACAGTTGAAAGGAATTTGGATCTCAGCGAATCCTTCGATAGGCGTTTAAACAATAACGAAACGAAAATACACGATCGATTTTTCAAACACTGCGGCTATCGCACGGTCTATGCAAATTGTTCGATAATACGATATTTTTGTTCGAAATTCATTCGCCAAAGTACCGAAGGAAAAAATAATCAGAATTTTCATCGCGTTCGCAGCTTTGTAGAAACGGTCGACGAAAAATCGCGCGATCCTTTGAAATCGACAGAACAGAGAACCACCGGTGCTGTTTTGTACTTTCCGTGAATACAAACGTTCTGACGTCACGGCTCTCCGTGACTCATTTTTTATTTTCCCGAGGCTCGCTTTTTCCACGAAATAAACGCGACATTGCGCGAGCACTTAGCGTTTGCAATCAAAGAAAAAATATCGCACAAAGGATTCCTGTAAATGGGATAAAGTCGTGTCGTGAACGCAAAGGCCGTCCATCGAAACGGCACATCGTCGCGGAAAGAACGCCACGGGAAACGGAGAGAATAAACAGGACACGAAGAAAAGACGGCCGTTGAAAATGGGAATACGTTCAAAGAACTCCTGTCGGACCTGTATGCGGTGACGATGAAACGACCAGAGGTCGTTGATTTCAAATCTGAGCGGATTTGCCAGGATCCAGGCGGATAGAAAATAAATTGGGAAAATAGGTGTTTCAGAAATAGGTGACCAACATTTTAGGAGCGTATTCCATGGATCTGAAAATACCTTTTCAAATATTTTCCGTTTACGACAAAGTACTTTATATACATTTCATAAAATCTGTGACAGAATGCTGCATACTCACTGTTGTGTAACTGCCACCTCAAATTCAATGTAATTTAATTAACTGTTCAATTCTTATTTGTGTATCTTGCATGTTGAAATAATGATACAGGGTGGGTCACATAGAACAGGTCATCTAGTGATATTCACCTGTAATGATGTATGTGTTTCCTAAGTACTTTAAATAGAAAATAAAGTTTGTAATTACTATTACATTTTTCAGGTTTATTTACTGTTTTTTTGCAAATGTATTTACATATTTTGTTCATGGTTATTTTAACTAATACGTGTCACTAGATATTGCATTAATGATATTAAATAATTACATAAATCTGACAAATTAATATTAAACTAATTTATAGATTAAACAGTATAACATTAACGTTAATCCCGAAATTAAATTCGAATAAGAGAATATTTGAATTTATTGCTCTATCTAATGTTAAATCAATATATTAATTTAATACAGCGGAAGCAATACATTAATATGATATTGAAATGATTTTGCAGTTAAAAAGTTTTAATCGAATGTAACATTTCTTTTCGTAAAAGCTAAAAGTCAATTCTGAAATGTAAAAAAAGTACAATCAGAGACGACGATTAGGTGACATATGTTAATACGTGATCCACCTTGTATAATTACTCGAAATATGCAAAAGTATGAGTAACCATAAAAAAAGACAAAAGCAAAAATAAAAAATGTACGAGACTAATAGAACAGCATGGAATATTCACGTTAGCCGCATAATTACTCAAATATTTGTAACAATGCATTTTTAAAAAGTTATTAAAAATTCAGAAATATGGTTGCATTTAAAAAATTGAGAATAATTTGATATTTACTAGTTTAAAAATATTTATTAGTGCCTATTCAATATAGATAAAATTGGTTAATAATTTTTTGTATTAATAAAATTATCAAATCAATTAATAATTTTTATTATAACATTGTTGTAAATGGTTGAAAAATTATGCACATTACCATGAATATTCAATTTATTAAAAAATCAAATAATTATATTCTTAACTGAAACTGACATAATTTTTCTTTCTTGTCATATGATCATTTCCACTGTAATCATATATGATTATAATCTATGATATACAAAGAAACTGTTCAAAGTCAGAATTTCATCATCAGCAAAAATGATTAAAACAAACGATCAAAAATAAGAATTTCTAAATATCGAATAGCTATTTAAACTGCGAATGCTTATGAACTAATAATATATCAATGTTTACAAAATATACATTCGTAAAGTACGAAAATCTTCAGTGTATGGATTACATGATTTATGTATACTATGCCAACCTCGACGTTTATCATAAATGCATAAACATCGGCAGTAAATAAATAAGTATAAGAATGTCTATGTAAATAAGAATTTGATGAATTTACGTCAGAAAATCGTGCAGGTAACTGTATTTTCTAAATAAAGAATCTAATTAAATATTCCATCGTAAACTGGGATTTGTAAATATACTTTGAAAAGGAAGCATTTTCAAATCCATGCTAATACTTGTTCCAACTTCAACACGTTCGCAATGGATATACGCTCCTCTGGTTATCTATTTCTGTGGAATAATCAGTGGAATTCTTTTCAAAGCAAGCGTAGAACGTATGAAATATACACAAAAGAAAAGATCGATGAGAGTTCTACGTAACATAAAACATTACGATACATAGCTAAAGCCAGCTCCAGGTTAATTAGGTTAGTGGTTCTGTGAATACCAAGCTTACGCGATAAATGGATAGCGAGACTATGGCGGCTAAATGAAATATGGCGAGCCTTATGGGGATCGAAGGAGACGATTTAAATAGATTTCTCGCGTATAAACTGGTAATTTACAAAGTTCACCTCTTTAAATACGGATATCTGCAAAAATGGACGCATGAAATTTTACAACTGTTAATAAATTTAAAATGACGAGTAACGACGTTGAAGAAAATTTGATATCTGAACGGAAACTAAAGCATTTCAGTAACTTTAAATATAATTCTATTAAATTAGTTTGAATACGTAAGTATGTTTTTAAGCGGCGAAACTGTAAAAGAATTGTAATGATTGAATGACAGTCTTTTTGGATGAAAATCAAAATGAAGGGGTATACAAACAAATCTTTATTTAAAGAATTTTAGGTAAATTTGTCTTGATGATGTTAGACAATTATGAACACATAGGTTTTGTGTTAATCCTATCACGAATTATAATAAGATTTTTTTTTAAATATTTGAAGAAAAATCGTAAAAATGAAGACCTAACCTATAATTGGGAGGCTAAAATAAAAGACCATGATATCCATTTAAATTCGATCAACTTCGTGGTTTTTATTTAAACTCGATCAATTTTATTCTCACTTATGTTCGACGAATTTCTGCTATTTCTAAACTTTTAATCAAAAATTCAAAAAAGCAAATATAACGACAAAAATAGAGAATAAATAGAAACG